CTGCCCCTGAGCAGGCCAGCGGGTGGGACCTCCCGTCCTCCTTCTCCTCTCCCCACAGGCTCTGAGTCATTAAGTTCTGTGTCATTAAGTCCCCATCCCCCGGAGCCTGTTCACAGCCAGCCACGCCTCACTTCTGACCTCCCAGGCCTTTGTCCTCTGTGCCCTCTGCACAATAGCCAGGGCTCCCAGGGCCCCAAACAGCTGCTGCAGCTGCTACCACAGCTTGCTACGGGGCCAGGGTGGCTGGCCTGGGCCGGGCCTACCTCACTCAGCTCTGACGGGCTCAGCAAGCCCTTCCGTCCTGCCTGTCCCCAGAGCGTCCAGGAGCCTCTGCAGACAGCCCCTTCCCACCCGTAGGAAAGAGGCTATGACTTCACTGAATGAGGAAACTGAGGCCAGAGGGGTAAAGTGACCTGTCTGAGGACACACAGCAGTGACGGTGTAGGAGTTCAGGTCCGAGAGGTAGAAGGCCCCGCGCTGACCTGTACAGCACCCAGGTTATATCACGCCCCCCTCCCCAACACACACCTGCACTGGCTTCACTCTTCCTCCGGTCCTTAGCTCAGCACTCAAGGCCCTAACATCCTTCTATTTCTCTCCCTTTTACCTCTGCCTTTCCTGGCCATGTCCCTGGGTTCACCAACCAGTGACATCCCCATTCCTACCCTGCTTGGAAGGTCCACTCAGTCCTCGGAGCCCCACTCCGTCCTGAAGCCCTCCAGGCCCAGCTGCAGTTTTACACTGGCAGGGTCTCACCTCCAGACCTGGCCCTAGGGCCAGCGTTCAAGTTATCTGGGGACACCTCTTACTCCCCAGGGAGGCTGGGGGCCAGGGGACTCCCTAGAGCTTCGCCACCCCAACAGTGGCCAGCAGCAGGGTGCCCTCCCCCCAGGCTGTCCCAGTGGAAACCCAGGAGTAGGAGGGGGCCCTCAGATGGGAGCCCTGGCCCGCCCCCCCTTCACTCCCCATGCCTCCACACCCCACCTCCTTCTTCTGTCACTCCCTGGCTGTGCCCCAGTCCCCTTCCCTCTCTAATAAAATGGGCACACAAAAGCACCTGTAGGTCTCTGGGTTATGACATAAACCCTGGAAGGTTCCTATCCTCATTTCTGTCTGTTCCCTAAGTGGCCAGGGCATGGGTTAGGGGTCAGGGAGGCCCAGATGCCACCATTTATCGGCTGGGTCTTCTGGGCAGGTGGCCTCCATTTCCCCATCTCTGAAATGGCACTCACTCCGCCCACAGGAAGCCAAGCTCGGCGCCGGCCCCCCAGCCTTTTGTCTATGGCGCGCAGTAGGCACTCAGATGTTTCAACTGAGGAATCAGCCGTCCAGGTGGAAGGAATCCATCCCCCTTCCCTGCCTCCCCCCTCTGCAGAGCCCCCCTCCCCACCCCCAGCCCAGGCAGACTAAAATAGTCATTAGGCAGATTTCAAAAGATGTCAGTAGCTTATAATTATAGTCGACATCCTTCTGAGATAAAAGTGATTACCTTGGATGCAAATCACTTAGCAACCAATCAGGGCGGCGGGCGGCGCCCGCGGAGGTGACCGGCCGGCAGCGGCGGCGCAGCCCTCCTCCCGCGGCCGCACCGCACAGGCGGAGAAGGCGCACAATAGCTCTTGACACGCAAATGGGTTAACACAATAAAGGCGGCTCCGGCCGCTGCTGGGGGAGAGCAGCAATTCCCGGCCCGCGGGAGGTAATAAAGCGGCCCTTTTGTGCGCGCCTCCTCGTTCTCACCCCCGCTGGAGCCCAGAGGAATCACCGCCTGATTGAATTACGGTTCATGAATATGAGCTGCAGCTCGCTTCCTCCGGCTGGGGAGGAAGGGAAGACAGAGGGGCAGGAGGGAGGTTGGGAGGGGCCCCTGACCAGACCCCAGCCCCCCCAAACTCAGATGGGAGCCACGTGTGCTCACCACGTGGGGGTCCCGTGGGTAGGTGTCCTGGTGCAGGGGCACCAGTAAGGGCAGGGACGCCTCCTCTGGCACTGGGGCCTCTACCTCTGGCTGCAAGGGGCTGGGAGAGCATGAGGCTAACAGTAGCCATGAAACTGTGCATTTATCAAGTGCTTACTGTATACTGTAGCCTGCACTAATCCCTCACGGATCCTCCCCACGACCCTGGGCAGTGGGTGCTATTAGCAGCTCCTTGTCATAGATAGGAAACAGGCTCAGAGAGGCAAAGCTGCCCACCCAAGGTCACACAGTCAGCAAGCGATAGGTGGGGAGTCAAGACTCACACCCCACCCACTCTTGCCGCTGGCTCTATCAGCCTCACACCCAAAGTACAGACTTCATCAGTACCTCAGCGAGAGGGTTAAGCAACCCAGCACCAGGCCAGAGCAACTACGAGGCTCGCAGGGACACAGGATGGAGCGGCTTACTTGTAATTAATTACACAAGGGAGAAGGATGGGGATTCCAGACAGCCAGAGAACTGAGGTCTCTCCTGCTGACCAGAGGGGATGTCCACAGTCACTGTCCCCACGAAGGGGCCCCCATTTGATCCTCTCCCCTGTCAGCTCAGGGCCACCCCTTCCCCCATTCAGCACAGCAGGCCCCAGGGCCCACAAGCACCTCTGGCCCACTCTGGCCACTCCCCTGCCTGGAACTCCCTTCTCACCCAGTTTCCTGTCTGGTGCATCTGTGTTTGTCCCTTGTGAGATCCACAGGGCCGCCTTCCTGCTGCCTCCCAACCCTCCCAACCCTTGTGCCCACATCTACCAAAGGCGCCAAGACCCCGACTGCATTCCTGCCTCCCTCTCCGGCTGAGTGCCTGCCCAGAGGGCCCCTGGGCTAGCTAGGGGCGGCAGGCTGCCCCTGGGGTCCTGGAAGCAAAGGGAACCTGGGTTTTTCGCAGACAAGGCATCCTAATGGGACCAGACTCCATAGCTTACAGTGCCTGACTGGCGCAGGGACCCTTGTCCAGTGAGTCAGGGTGCCACTTCTCTGCCCACACAAGCAATAGGAAGGCCCTGGAAATTCTGAAGCCAGTGCAATGCAGTGCCAAACCTCTGTAGCTTCCCAGCTGAGCATCACCTCCTTGACTTGAGCCTCAATTTCCCTATCTATAATATGGGTGAGAGAACACGAGCCACTCTAAGGAGTAACTAGGACCCTGCAAAATGCCTGGCACACAGGGAGACGCTGGGTAAGCTGACACTCCCCCCTGCTCAGCGTCTGGCACTGACTGCCAAGCCCTGAGAGCCAAGGGAAAGGAACAGAAGGAATTGCCCAATTCTTACAGCCCTTCCCTCCGCCTTGGCTGAGGAAGTGTAAATACTCCACAGAGGGCCTCCAACCGCCTGTGTTTGTGGATCTGGCGCGCACTCCGAGTTTGTTTCTAAACTGGGAAGCGTTGAGAAGCAGTGCAAACAGCCCTTCTGTCCACATCCCCAGGTTCTCCCCCAATCTGCTGTTGTTCCACTGTCCTCAGAAGCTGGTGTTTAACAACACCATTTCAGCTGGAAATATCATCTCCCTGCCAAGCCCCCAAAAGCAGCTCCACTGATATTTATTATACCTGTTAATCTAGCTGGAGAGTCTGGTAGGATGACAGCAGAAAAAGCTCACTGCAGAGAGACTGTGGCCTGGCTTCTCAGAACCACCCCCTGCCCCACACCACTGAAGCAATGACATGGTTTTCGAACCTTTTCCTAGAAATGTGATGACAGCAGTTTCACCCACATCTGACACTGGCAGTAACTGCTGGAAGGGGCTTAGAAGAAGAATCACAGAGCCAGCAGCAGGATGCCGGCTGGTGGGGGTAGGGAAGTCCCTGGGCCTTCCCAGGTACCGGGGAAGACAGGGCTGGCGCCCTCTGCCATCAAAGCTAGCCTCTGGCAGAGGCAGCGAGTTCAGGCCTTGGCACTAACTTGCCCCCCACTCACTTAATGAGCATCAATCATACCGTGCTTGTCAAAATCATCTTAAATACCAAAGGGAAGATGGGGCAGGCGGGGGTTGTGGGTGGGCCAAGGCCCCTCACCTCGGGATTGAACAGCCGGGGAGGGGGCCCCCTACATTCCCTGGCAGGGGGCGGGTCATTCACATTTTCCTGAGCAGAAGAAGCTGCCAGTTTGTCTGTCTGGGGATGCTGGGAACTTCAGCCTACTGGCTGGGTATAGTGGGGTTCAGGCAAGTCTCCTCTTTAACATCCCGTTTGAAAGCACAAAGTTGCTCTCTGGGGGTCCTGAGTCCCAGGCGCTGCCAAGCTCCCTGGGCAAAGTTCTGAACACCTGTCTTTAGGGGGAGGCGCACGAGCAGAGACAGCTGGCATTGCCTCCCTCCCCCACCGCATGTGGCTGCTGAGGATTTAGGTCAGAGGACTGCAGTGGGGGGTGGGAGAGTCAGCCTTCACCCTTGCACTAGGCAAAGGCATCCGGCCCTGCCCCCTCTAGCCTTGGGTCAAAGCAAGTCCCGTTGTCACGGCAACCCAGTGACGTCAGAGGCAGGGTAGTGACGTCACGCCGCGGCCTCACCAAGGAACACGTTGTCCCTGCGAGTTATTTGTGGGAACGCGGGCTGGAATGGGGGAATCTTGCTACAGTCTGGTCCCAGGGACCGCCACCTGCATAGTCTAGACTCCACATTCTCCTCTGGCTCCAAAGCCCCTTGGAGATTTCAGAAGCGACTGTGGAGCTCCTTAACGCTATCCCATCCTGGGTCCCCATCCCCGGTTCTCTCAAGGCGCGGAGTTCCCGAGAAATTTTCAGATTTTGGAGCCACTACCTTTGTTAGATTTACGGGTGGGGTGACCTTTCTTCTCTGGCTTCCGCACTGCCCAAGGGCTCCGCGGAACACCCACCGAGGACCTCAGCCTCCACTCCAGCCGGCCAGTCAGTTCGAACAAGTTGTGTGTGGGAGGAAATGGGGTGGACAAGTGGTACTGCGGCCTCAGGGACCTCAACAATCGAGGGCACCCTCATATTCAGTCCAGGCTACCCGGCCGCTAGGGGGTGCCCCCAGCTCCAGCCTGGACTCGGCCCCACGCAACTCACCGAATCAGCCAAGCAGTCGAAGGGCACGAGGTCTTAGTGGCCACGACGCTCCGCTCCTGGGGTCGCAGCCATGTAGGGGAGGCAGAAGCTGCCTGAGGAAGCCCCTCTCGGAGACCGATGCCTCTCTCCGGTTGGGAAAGGGCGCTGTCGATGAGGGCGATCCGGGCACCGGACCTCGAAGTCCAAAGTCGGGAGGTTTTTCCGCTCAGCGGGGGTCGCGTTCACCCGGTCTGCGGGCAGCGCGGGCGCTCAGGCGGCGCATCCTCGCCGAAGCCAGTGCTTGCCGTGTCCGGCGGGAGGCGCTGCGCCTCCCCTCGGGGCCCTGCTCACGGCTGCAGCTAGGCCCGCGCCGCTCCCAGGGCGCCCTCTCCGTCCGCGCTGGGAGCCCGGCGGCCGCGGCCCCTCTCACCAGCCCCAGCTGCAGCCTGTCTTTGTTGCTTCCTCTCTCCCGCCCGCGGCTTGCAGCCTTCGGGTTTGCTCGGGGGTGGGGTGGTCTTCCTCTCCGGGGATTGCACGCACCTGCAGCGGCCCCGGCTTCTCGCTGGGCATGCACCAGCCCCCGCAGGTTGCAAAGAGCAGAAGCGAGAATGCACCGGCCCCTCCTCCTCCTGCTCGGAGCCCCGGGTGTGGGGGGAGGGGAAGCCGGCAAGCAGCGGCGGCGGCGGCAGCGGAGGCTCGGATGCAGCCTCGGGGGCCTCCGCGCTGAGAAACAGCAGGTCCAGGTGGCACAGGACCGACGCAGGAATGGCCCAGGGGACGGTGCCTTCGGCGTACGAGCTTGGGAGCTGCAGCAGGGGAGGCGCGCGCCCTGGGCTCTCACGCGCCCATGGCCCCAGGCGGCGCGCGGGGGCTCCCGGGGCCGCAGCCTCGCGCCACCTTGCGCGCGCGGGCGCCTCGCCTCGCGCCCGGGTACTGCGCGGTGTCCCGCAAGCAGCGAGCCTGGCCCTCCGCCTTCCCCGGCCGGCGCGCGCAGCCTCTCCGCGGAGCTGCCGGCCCAGCTGTCCTACCCGCTGCTCCGCTCCGGCCCGACTGACAGGCGCGAGCGCCGGCAGCCTCCGCGGCGTCTCGCCCCCTTCCCGCCCCCCTCATCCCAGCCCAATCAGAGGCGGCTGAAAGGCGGTTACCAGGGTGACGCGGCGCCGCGTCCTTTAGGGGGCGGGGCCGAGGGCCGCCACGCGCGCTTTTCGCGGCAAAATTCAAAGGCCGACAGGGCGGCTCTCCTACCTCCTCCCCCAAGCAGGGGCAGGCGGGGCCTGCCTCTTCAGGACTGCAACTCCCGGCATTCTATGCGCTAGCGTTGGGCGTAAGGGCCCCGACTGGGGGCGCAGGGAATGATGGTACTTGTAGTCCCTGTATTGGAGAAAGGACCGGAAAACCCCACAATCATTTATTGAGGTTATACTTGCGTTAAAGCATGGTACTACGCGCATTATCTGCATATTTCAATTAATCTTGGCGACAACTCTATGAGAGATGTGTTAAAAATAATAACCAAAAAAGTAAGAATGTAGCTCAGTGGAAGAGAACAGGTGCTCAAGGCCCTGGGTCCAATCCCCAGCACCAAAAAGAAAAAAAGGTAGTAACAAAGATAACAGTAACTAGGATATTTGCTGTTAGAATTACATACTTTACCAAATCCTCACAACCATGTGAGGTAGGTATTATCACCCCCATTTTATAGATGAGAAGACTGATACAGAGGCTCTATTAATTTCCTAACTGATATTAGGAAATGCGAAGTGTCCTGAATGTTCTGTACTGAGGCATATTTTGGACAATGGAGTTTTGGCATTGCAGCTGAGATCTGTAGAGCACTAGCTAACAGTGACACGTAGAACTCTTTGTAGGCTACTGCTCATTGGAGGCAAATACCAATACTCATATTCTCTGTCTCTCTATCTTTGTCTCTGTCTCTATCTCTCTCTCTTTCTCTTTCTCTTTCTCTCTGTTGATGGGGTCTTCCTAATCTGCCCGGTGTTGGCTCTTGGGCTCAAAAGTCAAGAGATCCTCCTAACTCAGCCTCCCAAGTGCCGGAACTACAAATGCCACACCCAGAAGGGCACCAATATTCTCTTCCATTAACAGACAGGGAAGCCAGGAGTGTTGGCATATGCCTGTAATCTTGAGGGAGCCTAGAGCAGGAGCAAGTTCAAGCCCAGCCTGGGAAACTTCAGGAATTAGGGAGATTCTGTCTCAAAATTAAAAAAAAAAATTTTTTTTAAAGGGCTGGGAATGCAACGTAAAGGCCCTGGGTTCAATCCCCTGTGCTACAACAAGCAAAGCAAAACAAATAAAAAACCAGATGGGGAAACTGAGGCACAATTTCACATCAACCTGTGGGCCAAATCTGCATCCATCAAACTATACGGCACCTTATCTTTTCTTTCTAAACAGCTGGACAAATTCTCACTGGGTCTGCAAGATAGCCTATGGGTGGCTGGTGTAGTGCTCCCATTCACAGATCGGGAAATGGAGTCTGAGGGAGCAGTCCCCTCAATTCCTGGGCGAGCCAGCAAGTTGGGGAGCCAGCTTTTTAGGCTAACTAACCCCAGGATCCTTACAGAAACACAAAGCAGCAGCCAGACATCTGCTTTCCCCACACTGGGCTCCATCCCTGTGACATGGAGTCCCGCAGAAACTGGTGGGGTTCCAGCACTGTCCTTTCTAGCTGCTGGCTTTGACCATTTATCTTCCCAGTTCTGTGCCCCAGTTTCTTATCTGTGAAGTATAGGTGGACAGAATATCTTAATTCCTACCACGTAAGGTTGCTGTGAGACTGAACTGAATGTATGAAAAGAACACTGTAAGTGCTCAATAAATGCCTACAATGGTCTGCTTTGGAGGGCAAGGGAGTGTATATTGGGAGATGCCCTGATTATAACCTGGGCCTAGCCTACTTTCAGGAGCCAGCCAACCCCTATCCAGAACCTGGGAGCGGCACCTAAAAGGGACCTTTAGGTCCAGCCCAAGTAGGCCACCCGCCACCTTATCTAGGGCACGAGCTGGCCCTGTTTCAAATCTCCAAGCAGCAGCTGTGTGCAGTTCTCAGCAGCCTGGTGTTCGCTCTATTTCTCTGTCTCCCCAGCCCCACCCCATTTGAGTGAAAGGCTGGGGGTGGAGATCTACCTGGAAACGTGATCCTGCCACCAGCTGCTTCACAGCAGGCCAGCTGCCAGAGCACCCCTGACGTCAGTGCAGGTTGCTCTGGTGACTGGCTGGGTGGACCTAGGGCATGGGCAGGTGGGGAGACAAGATTCTAGCCTGGGACAGGGTGGAAAGAGAGACAACCAAAGCCTGGAAGGGGAGAAAAAGCAGGAAGGGGAGAAGGAGGCAGTGGGGCACTCTACAGCCTTTCCAGAGTTGGGGATGTTTCTCCATGTAGGTCCCTCTGGCATGACACCTCCTACATGTTGGGTGGGGAATGTCCAGTGCTATCTGTATCACATGGGCTTAGCACACTTGTGAGGTATATAGGATACTACCCACATCTTACAGCAGAGGAGGACCACCTGACTTGCCCAAGGTCACCCAATGACAGGACTGGATCCCAAGAACCACAGCCCTTGGTCTTGGTTTATTACATCCTGTGCCAGCCTCCAATAGACAGTGTGTGATCTTAGGGACAAGTTTCTCTTCTTTTCTGTACCTCAGTTTCCTTATCAACCTCTCAGAGGTAGATCAGTGGTTTCCCAAGGTTCCCACATGATTCCAAAGTGCAACCAAGGCTGACAAACAAGACTTTAACAGACCTGAAAGGAACCAGGTATGATGACCCATGCTTGTAATTCTAGCACTCTGGGAGGCTGAGGCAGGAAGATTCCAAGTTCAAGCCCTGACGGGGCAACTTAGTGATTTAGAAAGATCCTGTGTAAAAAAAAAAATTAAAAGGAATGGAGCTGGGGATGTAACTCATTGCAAAGCCAACGAGTTCAATCCCCAGGACTGGGGAAAAAAAGATCTGGGCTTAATCCCAGTACTGGGGGAAAAAAGATCTGGAAAGATCCCCCCATCTCTGAATGTTGAGGAATTCATGATGGGCGAATGATGGGATTTCAGGAAGCAGCAGGCTCAAAAGCAGCTGTACGGCCCAAGAGGTATCTTCCCAGTGCCTCTCACATACTCCAGGCAGGTGAACACCCTATAAGATGCACAGCTTTGGCTTCCACTTATGCTCCAAATACACATTCTCAATCCTCCCCAGTGAACCTACCTCCCCAAGGTCAGAGTCTTAGCTCTGGATCATGTCCAACAGCAGCATTACGTGACCTGAAGCAATGTATTTGCTCTAGTCCATGGAGCCGTAGATTTGCCATGGATTTGCCACAGTCCATGGGTTGACCGTAGTCTGTGGCACCACCAGCAGGTTGGTCCCTGGACACTGGCTCCCGCCAGGGGCCCAAGAGGCCCCAAGAAGACGGGGGCAGAGGGCGTTGAATTCCTCATCCATTCTCTATTTACCAAGAAATCACATTGAGCTAGACCCTGGGGATTTTGCAGTGCTCCAACCAAGACATCTGCCACGCGGAAGTGAACCTTCACGGGGTGGAGGCAGGCAGCAAACAGGGATGTCCAGGGTACCGGGAGAGGGCGGAGCACAGAGCAGTTGATGGACAAGAGGTTGCCACAGCGGGAGCTGAGGATGCTCCTGGCAGAGGGCTCGGCTGATGCAAAGATGTGGGGAGCTGGCAATTCCCTAGAGCAGAACCAGATCACATTGGGGTGGGGTCCAGGGCTGGGGAGAGGAGGGAGGGGCTTGCATCCTGACAGGGAGAGGCCTGCCTCAGCCTCCCACCCCACCCTCAGTTGCCTCACCTGCCCTGGTTGCTATAATCTAGGCCAGCGCCTGGAGGGAGCCGAGCCCCCATTGGTGCACACCCTGTAGGTTTTTCAGAGATAATTTAATCAGAGCTATTAATAAGCAGAAAAGAAAGAGCTCTTTATGCTTCTCCCAGAGAAAAGGGGGGAGAAGGAGCTCGGGTAACCTTGTCATTCACCTGCCCTGCCCCCCAGTGCCTGGAGCCCTTGGGGGGGATGGGGCAAGGAGGCAGGGGAGGGGCAAGCCGTGGTGTGGGGCAGAG